GGGGGGGGAAATAAGTGGTTGTTTGTACAGGTGATTGTCTTAGACAAATGATTGTCTTGGACAAGTGGCAGTTAGAGCAGGTTTGACTGTATTTCAATAATAATTTTAAAAAACATAATGTTGCCCACCAAATGCATCAGAAATCTTACCAGAAAGAAACCTGAAACTCTTCCAAACTAGAGGCTTTTACTCCATGTTGTCGAGAAGGTGTATCATGGCTTTACTAAATACGGCAGTTTCCAAATATTGTTGTGGGTTCGCTTTAATGAGCGGAAAACATGTGACTATTGAATACAGTCTGAAAGATGAAGGGCACAAGAGTGTGGTTATAAAAAGAAAAAAGGTATGTCCATAAAATCATCAATCCCTCTTGGGGTAAAAGAACCTAGAAACAGAGCGTGGGAAATGAAGGCACTGGGTGAGAACTAACTAGCAGCTACTGACTATGACATGCTGCAACAACATCTTACCCTGATCTTAGCCACTTTTTCTTCTTGTTCCTTCTTCATGGCAAACTCAGCTATCCAATCTGGCTCTAGAACAAAATGGAAGAAAAAATAATCATATAAATGAAACCTTTAACCCCCCAACCCCCGCAACTGAAAGTCTTTACAATACACAGAGCTAATAATACTGTGTCCCAAGGCAAAGCAACGTAGCTGGTAAATGTGAGTTTTTGGGTTTAGCTGGTTTGTTACATTATACTTGCCCATATCCCTCGTGTGTCAACGGCAGGACAGTGTATCTACATAGGAAACAATAGATTTCAAAGTGGTGAAACTCCGTAAGTGACTGATCTCAATATTAAGTGTCAAGAGCTTTTCTCAAAATCACGAAATATGTTACTTTGCTGTGTCTTTGGAAGGCTGAATACCTGATCTCCCTTACATCATCAGTTCTTTTTCTTCTCTCCCCAGACAATATAATACAAAACAAAACATTGTCATCCATCATTCCCACATCATCAACTCTTTTTCTCCTCATCTCAAACAACACCTCATCCACAGGCAAACCAATCAGATCACCAGGATTTCAGGATACTTTACATTTCAAAGTCATGCCATTCTTTTATTCCAACAAGTCCAACATTATAATCACAAAGTAGTTCTTAATAAACCGCTTCTTCACAGGTAAAAAGATTGTTTAATTGATTGGAAAAATTTAACTTAATTAAAAGCAAGCCCATCGTCTGTTCACAAAATGTTATAAGAAATTTTAGAAACACCTACCCCCTTGTCCATCTTTACCAGCTTCATTTTCTTTGCTGAAACAACAAGGAAACAAATAGTTAGGTTTTTTTTAGTAAGTACCTAAGTTTATTTAGTGTTTAAGGCCATTGGCCCATATCCCACATCACATCATATAAAACACTCATTTGTTAAATAAAGTTTCCATAAAGAAAAAGATAGTGTTATGATACTGAGAGAAACACTAATGATAGTAACATCATATCAAGCGTGCAGGCATGCCAACTTTTTTAAAACCCACTCAGGGACATGCAACGTCATAACCTCAGATTATGTAACAATGACAGGGTTTAAAAAGCAGAAAATCTGTGAGATATACAGAACATTTGAGAAAACAACAGCAACACGTAGACTCACCCACAGACTCTAGCAGTGGACAGACTCTCAATCTCTAGTCGTTGTTTCTCTTGGTAATCTCGCAACCATTTCAGAGCTCCACATATCAAGCTCAGAGACTTTCCCTGAGGAGAAAAAGAGAGAAAATTGTCTAAGACAGCCACCTATCATCAAGAAAAAAAGTGGTTGTCTAAGACAGCCACCTATCATCAAGAAAAAAAGTGGTTGTCTAAGACAGCCACCTATCATCAAGAAAAAAAGTGGTTGTCTTTGGTGGAAGTCTTACACACTGTCATCTTAATGTTAAAAAAAAGCAGGTTGGAAATGAGGAGTGACAGCTCGTACAGGTGATTGTCTTATAATACAAGTGGCCATTAGGGAAGGTTCAGCTGTATTGTTTGTAAAAGTAACAAAGCCTGAAAAAACCGTTGGAAGTGGGTTTGGCAGGGGACAGGGGGGAGGGGTGGTTATAGGAGGAAAAAACCCCACATCATTCATCATTCCATGGAAATAGAAGAGTAAGGTTTTATTTGGCCACAATGGAGTTGTAATAGAGAGTTCTCTCAACTTATAAATAGTCCCTTGAAAGAAAACCAACGTTTAATTGTGATGAATTTTGCACTTTGCGATAATAAACTGTTACTAATCATATATTGCTCACCCTTCATTTATTTCAGATCAATTCAAAAGAGGTCCATTTCAAAGAAAGATATTATAAGAAACCTTTTAAAAGTGGTCAGGCAGGACCCTTGTTCTATCGAGAACAAGAATTTATGATGAGCCAGATGAGAAATGTGAGAAGCCTCACCTGTGTACCTCACAATCTATGATCAAAAAGAAAACCGATTAACAAATAACTTATGTTATTTCCAGAACACAAGCTGTCCTTGTTGATATTTATCTTACACAGGGAATAGCTGGAAAAAAAAAAGAAGAAAAAAAAGAAGAAAAAAAGGTTTAGAGCACTTTGAATCCGCTGCAAAAAAGAAGCCCTATTTTAGTAATAGTCATAAAAGAAATTATACTTTTGAACTTGAGATAACATGATGTCCACTTTCCTCACCACCACCATTGCCTCCTTTCTTCAGCCGCCCCCCACACACACACACCCCTCGATTCAAAGACTCTCAGAGAGACTAAATAAAACTGCCTTAATAAAATCCTATCAAACCAGCCATGTGGGGAAAAATTTGGTAAAGAATCCCCTCCATTAGACAAGACATACTATACAGACACCACAGAATCAGATTTTGAACATCCACCACTTACAGTGCCAGTTGGGCTCTCAAAAATTCCGATTTTTCCCAACTCCAGACAGGTGTAGAGATTTCTCATGAAGTCTTGCTGAATATCATAGGGCGTGAAGGGAAAGGGGAATGATTCTGGTACAGCAACGACACCATCACCAACTCTCTCCTCCTCTTCCTTCTCCCCATCATGTGCACCTCATGGCAAGAGAAAAAAATAGGACACTACTTTCACAAAGAAGTTTACATTCAGAATCATGGGAGGCGTGGGTGGGTGAGTGATGCAGTGTATTTTTCTTCTGTGATAATAATAATAACAATAATAATAATCATCATAATCATATATTAATAATAGCTCATCCATCAACATCTGACGAAAACCAACCACAGAGGAAAATATTTCTCCAGCGAATTAAAACTAATCAATAAAAAATTTGATTGTAAAACTTCTTTTACACTTTGCAACATTGAAAACTTCTCTCTCCCTTTCCACCCATGTTATATCCAGATCCCCCCCTCCCCCTTCCCGCCCAATCCACACACACACACACACACATGATATACTCAACACCATTTACCTAATCTTCTTAAATTCAGGTCTTATCTTTTTCACTTACTTACACACATCTTTCCCCTCAACCAATCTTGACAACCATTCTTCTCCCTCTAAAACACATACCAAAATAGAACAGACACATGTGGTTGAAGGCACTTGCACACACCATCATTTAAGATACACACACATCAAACTCAAACTCTCTACACCAAACTGGCAAAAGAGGAGGTTAAACCTGGAGCAGTAGTCTGGGCAACACAGAGACATGTGGACTGGCTACCTGATTTACTTCTTGGTACAAAGACAGAACTGGAAACAAGCACATGATGCATAATACTAAAGAAATAATACAGGCCTATATGAATTACTTAGTTAAGTATACTATAGTGGAGGGTAGGGTGCAAAACTTTTTGACAACACAATTACCAGTAGACTTGCTTTCCTCTCCGGTAACTTCTGTTTGCTTGTCTTGCCTGTTGAGTTCTGGAGCTGTTTAATAAAATATTAAAAAAAGAAAATATTCATAATTTTGGGGAAGAATGCAATTGTCAAATGTTGAGACCGAGACTTTCCTCTTAACAACAATCATAAAGTAAACCAATAGTGGCAATGGTCAACAGTCGGTATTGCACCCGCCCCCTAACACAGTTGACACTCTTCACTCCACCGCACTAAACTTGGGCGTGATCCCCGAATTTCATAAAAAATTAATAATTTAATGCACATTTTGGCACTCTTTAGGAGAAGTGGTCCCGGCCTAACTCCATAGACATGTATACACAAAATCAAAAACAAAAACGGAAGTCTGGTAAAAACTGAACTGAGTTGCGTGCCAAACCTATTTGAGACTAGATCTATTTTCTACACTATTCTGAATTCTAACGGGTTTTTTTAGGGTGCAGAGAACAATTTTGGCACTAAAAACTGCCACAAACCATTATTTTGTGAATTTAGCAGGCAACCACCCCCTTTTTGGGGGGGGGGGAAATGCCTATTCGTCCAGCTGCTGGAGCAGTAGTCAATAGCCTATTTATTGGGCTACCAAAAGAATAGCCGAAATGCTATTCGTTGGGTAGTGTCTACGTTCTCTAACGTTATTGAACGTATACAAGCTATTCTACGTTCTCTAATAAATCAAAAATACAAAATGTAGTAACAAGCCGATATTTGAACTTCCAAATGAGGCTTAGCTACTTTTCAATCGTTCTTTTTAAAAAAATTGGTTTGCGTAAATGTTTTGTCGTTAGATCTACATCATATAGCATAGGTCCGGCAGTTCACTCAACTGGATTATACTGGCGTATTTCTATATCATTATCAGCTGTGTGCATTTGTTAAGTTTGTATCAAGTACGTGAGTGTTTTATAAAAGTGTGTGTGTGTTGGACACCTTTTTGCTGCAGCCTTGATTGTCTTACTTTCTTTCCTTTACAAATTTAAAAAGTTGTCTTCCTCAAATTGCTTCCCCACCCGATTTAGCTCATCAAATGAATAGAATTTCGTTCCAACCGATAGAGCTGTGTTAAATTAAATTGAGCAGTAGATTCTAGCCTAGCCCCTTACTCTTGGGGCCAAAACCGGCGAATAACAAATGTGGGGTGGGAACTACCGAAAAAGCGCCGAATTTCCTCTCTACATGAGTCTATGCTCACCCGCCCGGAAGTTCTTGCAAGATTAACTCCTCCCCTCTTCTCTCTCTCTGTGTCTCTTTCTGAATGTCTATCGGTGTGGACGATCAAATTGACCAAAACAAAGTTAAAAATGATGTTAAAACACAAAAGTAAATTAATTTGGTTGTCTACAAAGATGCTACGGCTATTTAACTTTTCGAATCGAGCCGAACTACGCGGGTCGCCATTTTGTTTTGCCCGGAAATTCTCGCGCTACTCCTCTCTCTCTTTCTCTCTCCACTGCCCACAGACAAAATTGTACGCTTTTAGTAGGCTACAGTTGTAATGGAACGTTTGTTCACGGCACAGAATTCTACAATTTTTCTGTTATCACAGTGTAGAATTCTGTGGTTTAGGGTGAACGCAAAATTTGGTGACCGTGCACCGGGTGAGAATAGCCACAAGACTCGCCTGCACTATTCTCACTGCGGGTGAGAATAGAGGTGGCCCTAGTCTTTAGATCTAGATCTAGACATTTATTATCTAATCTAGATTCTAGATTAGATCTAGATACAGATCTAGAATCTAGATCTAGATAATATAGATCTAGACTCTACACTAAAAATTAATGATGGGCGTTGGCTTGGTAGTCTTACCGACAGTGACAGTGCCACTGTCTTGTTCTTTATTATTTTGTAACGATACACTTTGCTCCACGGAGATCAGTGATGCCAACAAGTCATCATCATCACCATCATCAAATGAATCCATGTCTCAGTATATATTGCAGAAGCGTCGTGACTCTAGCAGATTAGTAGAACAAGTCTTACTCTTAGTGTCTTAGTAAACACTGTAGACTTAGACAAGACATTGAAGAAAGCGCCATTTCCATTCAGGTTTACTTCCCTTGTGACGGGAGATTAATCTAATAATTTGTTGTAACATTTAGTGAGACTGAGTTCGCGCCCCTGGTCTGTCAGGTACGGTCAACGCGCATGCGTGAGAAGATGAATGAAACTGAAAGCGGTGTTGACAAAATACTGTGCTTCGTGTTCTGTTGATGACTGCTCTTTATCTAACGGTTTTAGATTTCGGCTTGCAGATTTGGATTGTGCCTTACGTTGATTTAATGTGATTGTTCCGATACTTTGATGGCTGGCTGATGCCTGAAAATGGAAACTGCGGAATGCATCACGCCTCGTAGTGCGACAGTGGTTGACGGCTCTGCTCAGTTGGCGTCCCCAGTAACGGTGTCATGTCAACCTTTCGATGGCAGTCCGACTTCAAAATCTCAGGAGGGAAATGTCACGCACTCTGTTACATATACTTCCGAAAGATCATTATCTGACAATCTGAAAAAGCCATCGTCCTTTGATTTTGCAGAGCAAATAAGGAAGCTGGAAATTGAGGGCAACAAGTTGAGAGCTGCCACCGTCTCTTCCCTATCCAACATCGGTAGGTTGATTTCCCGTGTCAATCGCTCGGGAAGCAAGTCTTGGCATGAAACTTAAATGGTTAAGAAATAAGGGGCCAATATTCAGAACAGTTCTGTTAGTCTCGTACGTCTTGACTTTTGTTTTGTTTTGGTTTTACTCATATTTATTATGTTGCCGTGACGTTTTCTTCTTCCATAAAATAGATTTATTATTTGTGTCACTTGTGACGCCCGTGTACAAAACCAAGTTCTTTACAATTTCTACTGGCCTACACCACATGTTTATTACAACCAAAGTGAGGTTTCTACCACATACTTGTTTCTTAAGTGTATTTTCCCTTGTTGTATTTGAGGAATCTATAGATCTAGATCTAGACCTAGTTTTTAAAAAGAAAGGTTGCTCAACCAGGTTTTTGCTACCTGTTGTCTGAAGGAAGGATATTTATTATATTATTTAGGCAAAAATGGTACCATATATTATTATTTAATAATAACAACAATGCAAAAAGCTGCCCAGGTTAAATCAGGCTGGGCCTCATAATATGTAATGATACATTATAGCATTGCCACTTGTGAGCAGTGTGTAAATGTAACATATATTTTTGTCTCAAATACATCATGTGGTTTCCGTAATGAAACAATGAGAACAGCTGAAGATTGTCTTTTCCGGCTTTTGTACCTGTCTACCTCTTTTGTGCTTAGGATAGCCTGCATGCCTTTGTGTGCTTAGAATGGTTCCCTGAGCGCTGTGAATGGCCATAAAGGTTCTTATCTAGCCCATAATTATCAGCTTTGTCCAGGGGTGTTAGCACCCTTCAGTGTGCAGGGGACTAGATCAGCAGTTCATGAAACTGACATAAAAGAAGCTTTAAGGCTTTGGATCATATATAGTGGAGTTTGCAGGAATCTGGTTCTTTGTACTCTTCTTTAAGGGTTCTTTGGGACAGAGTAATAGTGGATCACAATGAAGCAACAATAAATTTTCAATGTTTTTGCAAGAATGTATAGCACCTGGACAAAAGGTAATTTTTGGGGTAATTGTGGAGACTTTTTCCAGTTGTTTTGTGGACATCAAAAGATAACATAGAGACATATTTATAACTGCATTTGGTGGTTGAAATGAAGAATATTTCAGGTTTAAATGAGAAATTTTAAAGGCTGTAAATTCTAAATATTAGATTGAGAGGTCTATATTGAAATGACTTTTTAATAGCAGTGGTAGATTTTGATTTTCTTTAAAATTAAGTGTTTGAGAACAAGATCTGAGGAAAAAAAATCTTTTATGTGTTAAATGCTATCATGTGGCAGAATAATTTATGAATCTTATTTTAAAATTTAATGTTCACTCTTTCTTTTATAAAATTGTTTCAGGATCTATAGCTGGTTTCAACTTTGATGTCAATAGTAACAGTCATGAGGTAAGACCAAATCACGCTTCATTTATTTTAAAGATTTAACTTTATTAAGGGACTACTCTACCCAGTCAGTGGCTGTTCATTTAAGTTTCATAAAAATATTCATTTGATTCATTTGTTCACTCTACTGGCCAGATTTTCCTCATGGAGAGGCAAATGCTGTTATTTTTGCGCAATTTAATGAAATCCTCCAGAATCAAACATGTTTATTTTCCTAGGTCACTAATTTGATGTGTCTGATGAAAATAGGCAATCAAAAGGCTAATTACACATTCATTGTGGGGTCAGATTTTTCATTTGTGCGTGGAATACAGTAGGCCTTAGTTGATTTCTGGGTCAACTTTGATCATGAAGCAAAGCGGAGGTCATTGTCATAGTGTGCACTAAAACGGCCACATCGAGCCAATCCAGTTTGATCTCATGTTGATTGCCTTTAAAGTTGCCAAATAGGCTGAGAGAGTATTGAATATTGTAGTCTTATTGTCTTTCCTTTCTTTCACTGTCAGAGTTTTGTGTGACCCTGGAGACAGGGGAGCAGATTTTACCAGATTCGTGTATGCCCTGCTGTACTGTTTTGAAACTTGAGATTCATGTCTGAATTCCTGCTTTAATATTTAGGTAAAAGCTTTGTTTTTGTTCATGAGAATTTAACACCATCACCCTACTTCAATATAAATACATGTAGGCCTGTGTGTGTGTGTGTGTGTGTGTGTGTGTGTGTGTGTGTGTGTGCATGTGTGTATGCGTGTGTGTACACTGCTCAATAATTGTATGATATTATAATTAGTATCATGTTTATTTTTCTGTTATATTTCAGTCCGCCAAATATAACTCAGCAAACCTCGGCTGCATCACACCACTTGTGGATATATCTGCAGACCAGAAGGCAATATCAGATCTCAGGTAGTACAGTTTGTTTGCGAAGCTGTTTTCTTGTTTTTGTTAGAATAGTTGATTTTTGCCTCGTCTGTATTGTTGGGATCAGTTATTGGTTGGCTTTTTCCCCTAATGACAGGCCTTACTATGATTCAGAGAGTTTTATAATTAGTCTCATTTTATGTAGGCTATAATAATTCCTTTCAAAGTTTGTAAGACTGTGAGTGTATATATTATGTAAGTTGTTTGTAAGACTGTTTATGTTATGTGTAAATTGTTTGTAAGGGTGTTAATGTTATACGTGGAAGTTGTTTGTTCAACTGTTAATGTGTATATGTAAGTTTTTTGTAAGACTGTTCATGTTATTCGTAAGTTGTTTGTAAGACTAAATGTATTTGTTAGCTGTGTGTAAGACTGTTAATCTTATCTATATATGAAAATACTGTCAGTTTTATATGTGAGACTATCCCTTCCCCCAGAACTCAGCTTGATGTCCAGCGCCGTGAGACAGAACGTCTGCAGAAACAGCTGCTCGGTGACTTGCCCAGCTTCCAGTCCATCTCTGGGGCGGCCCTCCCTCCCGTCCAAGGCAGCGCTGGTCACAACCTGAGCAGCAACAGCAGCAACAGCAACAACTTGAGCGGCAGCAGCTTGTTCCAGCAGGCGTTCAGTCCCAGCAAGGCGGCTTTCTCCACGATATCGAGCAACGAGTTAGCAGGCTCTTCCTTTCCTCGGAGGACTTATGATTACCAACCGCCGTGAGTTAGGTGTAGGATTTATGATAGATAGATAAATAAATTAATGAATGAATGGATAAATGAATGAATGACTGAATGAATGGAGTGGTGGGTGGATGGATGGAAATAAATAAATTGTCCAAGTTTTAAGAATTTGAACAGTTTCACAGCATAACCACTACTCAGTGTAAGAACCTATCGTACGCTATTGTTCAAAATGACAAGTGACGAAGTTTTCCACTAAACCCTCCTTTTGAACTTTAAAGTATCAGTTAAGGTAATGTTTGACCTTCTTTTGTATGAAGTTGTGTTTGAGATAAGAAGGAAAGTTCTATAGTACTGTCACCTGTTGCAGATCTCACCTGGAGCGGTCACTGAAAGAGTCTCAGGAGCAGGTGGTGGACCTGAGGAAACGCTTGCAGGAGGTGAGTGCAGGAGTACCGAGAGTAGTTTGTTTCAGGTCTAAAGTACAGGGTACAACCTGGTTACATGCCACAGTGTCAAAGGACAGGGTATAATTCTTTACATGTTACAATGTTAGAGGACACGGAATAATTTGCTAAATGTTACAGTGAAGGGAACAACTTGTTACATGTTGCAGCATTAGAGGACAGGGAGCAACTTTTGTTACATGTTACAGTGTTAGAGGACATGGTACAATCTGTCACATGTTACAATGTTAGAGTGAAGAGAACAACTTGTTACATGTTACAGTGTTAGAGGACAGGGAATAATTTGTTACATGTTACGTTTGAGGGTAGGGAATAGTTTATTACATAGTATCAGAAGATAGAGTACAACTTGTTACAATATCAGAGTACGGGGAAAAATTTATTACAGTGCTTAGGTCTTTCTAACTCTGTTCTGCTCCCCTGCATCCCTCCTACCATCTCTCCCCTCTGTATCCCTCCTACCATTTCTCCCCTCTGTATCCCTCCAACCATCTCTCCGCTCTGTATCCCTCCTACCATCTCTCCCCTCTGTATCCCTCCTACCATTTCTCCCTGATGTGTCCCTCCTACCATCTCTCCGCTCTGTATCCCTCCTACCATCTCTCCCCTCTGTATCCCTCCTACCATCTCTCTGCTCTGTATACCTCCTACCATTTCTCCCCTCTGTATCCCTCCTACCATCTCTCCCCTCTGTATCCCTCCTACCATCTCTCCCCTCTGTATCCCTCCTACCATTTCTCTCCTCTGTATCCCTCCTACCATCTCTCCCCTCTGTATCCCTCCTACCATCTCTCCCCTCTGTATCCCTCCTACCATTTCTCTCCTCTGTATCCCTTCTACCATCTCTCCGCTCTGTATCCCTCCTACCATTTCTCCCTGATGTATCCCTTCTACCATTTCTCCCTGATGTATCCCTCCTACCATTTCTCCCTGATGTATCCCTCCTACCATTTCTCCCTGATGTATCCCTCCTACCATCTCTCCCCCTGTATCCCTCCTACCATTTCTCCCTGATGTGTCCCTCCTACCATTTCCCCCCAGGCCAGCGATGCCTCTGACCAGCAGAAAAGACAGTTCCGAACGACCGTGGAAGAACTCAAGTCCAAGCTGCATGACACAATCCTGAACAGAGACACAGTCCTAGAGCTACGGTGAGTTCATAGACTTTCACTTATCAAGTAGACGTTTCTAGACTTTCATCTTGGGTTAACAAATGAGCTTTAAGATTATACCAATACTTGCATATGCCCAGAAATTCACGAGCGTCTGAGTTCAACTTTTTGTGACACAAATAATCTCTGTTAAAGGTTGCCATCTCTTAGCATGATTACCTGAACATTTTACTGCAATCCTCCGTCTGCTTTTACTATCTAGCAGTTTTTTAATTTGCACAAATAGTTCCAGTTTTAATTTTTTGAGTATCTTGAAAAAGGTACTACATTTCGGTAATGCATGGTTCTAAAATCCCAGTGTAATGAGAGTGTTAGTTGTATTGTATCTGGGGTTTTTTGTCAGGCAAAAAGAGTCCAACGGTCAGGAGATGTTGATCAACAAACTGCAGTCTTCCCTGTCACAGCTACAGGAACAGTATAAGGCTCAAGAAGAGGTGAGGCTAAAAGCTACTAGGGGTGTACAAGTACTTGTTGTTCTTGTTGTTATCGATCCAGCAACAGCTGGGCTCTCACCCTTCTGTCCAATGCCGTGTAGTGATAAGTGCAGGTTTGCTGCAGTTGCTGTAATGTTCCATAGAGTGTGTTGTCAATGTTAGGACTCGGAGGGAGAAGTGTAGCTCTGATGTTATTTAGGGCTGTACTGTGGAAAAGGTGATGACCCACAGTCTCATATGCATAGTCACACAAAGGACACATTCACAATGGGGGGAAGTTCTGCTTTTATTCTGTTCAAGTGAAAGTTGAGCTGTATATGTTTTGTTCGTAGGCTGAAGATTGTGATCTGTTTCTTTCTCTGTAGAGGGTTGATATTGTAATTTCGTTTTGTTGTGGTCATATGTTTGAAAACTGATCTGCCTGTCTTTCCCAAGGCCCATCTGTTCTTCCAATCCTGTTTGCTGTTGCTTTTAATGATTTGTTTTGCAGTGTTGTATGAGGTTGGAGTAAAGTCCTTGCAAGTTCTGGCTTAAGTAGTTTTTAAATACCCCTAACCTTTACCGTACACTGTGTACCAAAAATTGTACATGGCGTTTTAAATTTCATTTCATTCTGTTATGGCTAACTTCTCACCTCTTGGCAGCAAAGAATGCCTCAAGTACTCAATTCCGACATTGAAACAATGGCCATTAGAAATTTTGATCTCAAGTTTTGAAATTGATTACCGTTTTCTACCCTTCCCTCTATTTTTACATCGGGTAACATCATGTACCAATAATGGCACACACTGGAAAAAACTGCAGACCCCAGGCCAACACACACGCAAAGCGAGCTCGCTGGGTCACGACGATGCGAGTTCTATTTTTAGCATGCACATGTGTTGCTTTCTGAGGCTCCGGCTATCTAATGCTGGGGAGGCTGCTGAATGTGTAGCAGGGTTGCGTGCTGAGGGTGTTGTAGGGTTGCGTGTTGAGCGTGAAGCCAAACTCCAACATAATTCACGTAATCTAAGTGATATTTCCAGTTTACCCACCCTTCCTTCTCTAAACAGTTCTCCACTCTCTCTTTAATGGTTGCAATCTTGGAAAAAGTTTGGAGTTATAATACGAGTTATGATAACTGTTCCAAAATTGGTATGCGACGTACGCACTGTGGAGTAAATACTGACATACTGTGAAGCTTTAAAAGCTCTAATCTTTAGCACTCATATTACCTAAATGTGTTGCAAGTGCTGTAAAACTCTTACTAAAACTAATGACCTTTGACGCATACCCCCCACCACTACCTCCCTCCCTCCAGGCATTTGCCTCCACGACCCGTAAGCTGGACTCTCACCACCACACCACCCACGTACAAGACACGGCCTTGGCCTCCATGAGAAACTTGCTGTCGGAGAGGGAGAAGCAGCGAGGCCGTGCCTACTTTGAGACAGACCCCGTGATTGGTCAGAGCCCGGCCATGTTGGTTCACTCCCTCGAGCGATGTCTGCAGGATGTGGAGCATGAACTCACCGTGAAGAGCTACAGAGTCACTGAGGTCAGAGTGATTGAGTTGTGTTTGAGTGGTTCTGAGTTGTACATCCCTTATGACACTCTGCAGTCCATTCTGTTATCTTTTTTTATTGTGTGTGCATCATATGTGTGTTTTGTTAAATGGTCTTACGGTGTGCCTTTTCTGTTCTTTGATTCAACATAAGTTGAGTCTTAATTCTGCATTGTACAGCTATTGACCTGCAGTAAACGATTCCAAGATTTCCAAGAAAGCAAGAACAGACAGATATAGAAATTCATTCGTACCAACTGCAGTTAGGTTACTGCACATACAATGCTATAAATGAAACAGAGAGAGAGAGAGGGAGAGAGAGAGAATGTTTTACGGAGCAGGTTGTTTTAGCTTGCGAGACATGTATTTACATGTATGAATGTCCTGTCTTGTTGTGTGTATGCATGAGTGCTCCTAACTTTTGTAACATCCACTGTCTTTGTAAACAAGCAAGACAAATTTCCCCCTGCGAAATGAATAAAGATTGTCATTGTCATTGTCATTGTCAATAATTTCAAGCACTTAGCTGCTATATAAATTCTCATTATTATTTATTTTTATTATTGTTGTAATACAGAACGTAATAAAACATAAGTTTTTCTTCTCACAGCTGGAGACTGAGCTGGAAGAACAGAAGAAATCAGTCGCTGAACGAGAGAAAAGCGTAGCCCGGGAATATCAGGAAATGTAAGCTGTACCTTCATATTACTTGAGTTTTTTTTTTATGGTAATTTTTGTCTGTCTAGTTTTATCCGACTCTGGTTGGTTATAGCTGGTAAGAGAACATTTGCTGCTGGGATGTAACCACCACCTCACCTCACCCCACCTCACCCCACCTCACTTCACTTCATACACCCCCCCCAGGGCTGGCTGCGTCAGGCAGGGTCATTGCTGCTTACCTCTTGATCGTGTTTGTGGAGGCAGAAAAGTCGTGCAATGAAAGAGGAAAAATTCTATGTTCAATTATATTTCTTGAACATATTAGTTGAGTCAAAATTGTTTCATATCTCCGCCCATTGTTGAGGATAAAGGAGGCTGTCTTAGACAGTGACATTATAATATTTTTAAAAAACGTCAGTGGCCAAGTGATTAGGCTCTTGGACTCGCAACCGTAAGGTCGTGGGTTCGAATCCCGTCAGGGGCCCAACGTTGTGTCCTTGGGAAAGGCACTTTGCACAAATTTTCCTCACTTCACCCAGGTGGAAACGGGTACCCGGCTATAGACAGTGAAAGATCTTGTCAGTTTGATAGTGTTTGAGCGCGTGAAATCCGCAGCTTGCACTGTGTGCTTCCGCGGAAGCTGAGAGTGTTTCTGAGTGTTCTCAGAGGGTCTTCTGGGGTAATAATAGTTGTAAAGCGCATAGAGCATGCTCTTGAGCATGGATATGCGCTATATAAATGCAATTATTATTATTATTATTATTTTATTATTATTATTATTATTATTATAAGAAAAGAGACGTGGTCGTTTGTACAGGTGATTTTTTATACAGGTGGCTGTTGTACAAAGTGCCATTATAATGTTTAAAAAAACGAGATGGAGGAAATGAGAAGTGGCCATTCGTACAGAGGTGATTTCTTGTACAGATGGCAGTTGGAGCAGGTCCAACTGTATTTAGATTGTGACCTTTTTTTTCCTCCCTATTTAGTTGTCTTCTTTCTATACTGTGAGTCGTGAGATTAGCTGGAGATTATGTCTGGTACAGACTGAGTTCAATAGCTAGGTACATAATTAATTTATGATAAACTGATCCATCTGTTTTTGTTTATTGTTTTTTTACAGATTGAAACGAGAGGCTGAGGATGCAGTGAGAAAGTAAGTTCTGATCTCTTTATCTCCATTTTGTGCTGACATTTAAAAAAATGGAAATGTGTCATGCCTTCAAAGCCTTCACTTTCTAATTTTCAAAAGCATTTCAATAGAGCTGCGGGTGACTGATTTTTGTTTTGTTTTACTAACAAATTGTGAACATTTGCCTCAAAGAAGCATTAGTGGAGAGAACATCCATAGTCTCTGTTATGTCTGGTGGGAAGGGAAAGCCTGAGGTATTTAATAACAACAAGTCTATGCTGTGTTTGTCTGGTGGTAATGTCATGCAATGTGAGGGCATAACTATCCAAACAGATTGGGGTTGTGTCTATTCCCATAAATATATCACTGGCAGTAGCAGCAGTAGTAGTAGCAGCAACAACAGCAGCAGTAGTAGCACATTGTATTTGTTTTAATCGTTAATATTGTCTTTATTAATCTGGTTGTAATTGCTACCATAATTGTTATCATTTCTTCACTGCTTCACAGAATGGGAACTCTGACAGCTGAGCACGAGAAGAAACTGTCAGAAGTGAGCGAGTCTGGTGCTGGAGCGAGGCAGCGTGTGACAGATCTACAGAGGGAGCTACAGGAACAGGAGTGAGTCATAGCTAATACTGTTGTTAGGACAGGCGCTGTCTGTTCTCATCATGTGTAGATAGCTAGACTGTGTTGAGAGCACTGTAAAATAAGTGCCATAGTGCGAGTAAGTCTTAGGTTTACATGGCATAATTGTGTTGAAAGAGATGTAAAACATGTGTAATAGTGGAAGTATGTCTTATCCAGCGACTATGGTAACGCAATAAGACTTATCCTGAAACAGGTGCATTGGACTGACTGTTGCTTTGTCAGAAAATCTTTTTGTTGTTATTAAACTTTTTTCTTCTGAGTTTTTTTACTTCTTTGAAATCCAAGTTTGAATTTGTGAACCAGTTCTGTGGGCTGCTGTTTGTTATGAAGATATTTCAAATGCTTGGTATAAGACTACCATATGTCATTTTGAAAAGTGACCTATGATGGTGTTTTATACTGAACAGTCGATTTGCACTCTATGTGTGTCTATCTGATGATGAAGATAGTCAGCCTGCCCACACTGAAATGAACCCTTATGAAGAGGGGCGAGGAAGCATGGACATCCCGTCTTCGTAAGACCCCGGTTCTATATTCAAGTATTCAAGTATTTAACTGTCTATAGACTGCCAAAGCATTAAACTCCTACAAAAATGTGTTGGGAGCTGAAACTGGTGCTAAGTCCGAGGAATGTTTCCAGTAGTCTGTATACCTGCATGTGTTTTACGGTCCACTACAGCCAAGAAAAATTTCCCTTGGGGACAATAAAGTATTATCTTATCTTTATTTTATATCTTGTCTTATTTTGTACTATCCAACCTTACCTTACCTTATCTTAACTTCGCTTTTATTGTCTTGTCTTATCTTATCTTATCTTATCTAAGCTTATCTATCTTATCTTAACTTACCTTATATCTTATCTCATCTTATCTTGTCTTATTTCCTGTCTCTCCCCCTGTCCCAGCCAAGACCACCAGCGACAGCTGAAGACGAAGGACGAAGTGATCAGAGAGCTGGAGGAGAAAGTGGAGGACTCGAGGACAGAGTCCATGCAGGCACGGGCGCTCTGGCAGGAGAAGGTTGGTCATCATACCAGTTGTTTGTTGTTTTTATGGTTTTTTAAAATTATTTTTTCGTCGTTTATGTGCTGCTTATGAAACTCATGTTATCTCCAGTCTTTCATGATTTGTTGAATTACTTTTTTTTCTGCCCCATAATTGGCACTGATGAAATAAAACATAAGATATTCTTGAAACTGATAATATGAGCTTTTTGCTTCTGATGCAGTCTTTTTTTCCTCGCTGTAAAGGCGATCGGATTTTCTTCTTCAGATCGTTTTCGATTTATAAAGTATGATAGTATGTTTTACATAGCAACATTGCATCATTGCACACTATAGAGCTGGTTAACTTAATAAAAAACTTTTTGATGTATTTTCATGAGAGTATTATTTGCCACTGAATTTGTTTGTGATCAGTAGTAATTAACAAAACGTAACCATTTGTAGAATGCTGTAGATATGTTGCTTCTATCTTTCTTAGGAGTTTAGTTTTATTTCTTAAACTATGTAGATTAGTTCTGAAATGGTTATCTACTTTAATCCCATTTAGTTTTGAAATGATCAGCTAGGTTGGTTCTGTTTTAGTGCCGACAAGACCAGTTATATTAATGTTGATGGGTTTATTGAAAAGCTGCTGAAATGTGTCTGTGTCATACATATATTTTAGTATTTTAATTTCCCTGCACAGTTTGTAATCAAAAAACTTCTGCAACCTTTTGATTGGTTCAAGTTTGCACCACTTGTTATTGGTTTAATATCGCAGTATCTATGGTAACCGTGTTTGTCTCCTTTTATTCTCCTGCAATGTGTAGGGGATTATTATTATAAGGTAATACAAATTATTTTTGTTTTCTGACCCAGTGAAGTCTAACGCAGTGGAAGTTGTTGTTTTTTTGCGTTCTTTTCTTCTGTTTGTGTTCCATGTCTCTTCGTCTTCCTCTCTCTTGATGAGAAATAAACTCCTTTGTTTCAACATGCTTAAATGAAAAAGAATTTGTGCATGTGTGTGTGGGGTGGGGGGCGAGATTGGGGAAATGTAGAGTGACTTTAATAAAATATATTTTTATTTTGCTTTTTATGAAATTTGCTTCAGTGTATGACATTAACGTTTGCTTTTTTTTCCACAAAAACGTCTTAATTCTGAAATGCTTTCGAAAGTCTGTATTTTTTCCCTTTTCTTTATATTGCAATGGGTATGGGTTGCAAAACTCAATAGTGGGTCAAACTTCAGTTTTGCCAGATATGCCACCACTAGAATTTTACTCAAATAAATTTTGTATACATTTTATTTGAAAAGTTTCTCACTCCTTTTTTATTTATAGTTGGGGTTTTTTTTCCTTGCCGACATTCCCCTTCACCTTTTCCTATAGTACGTGAATTCCCCCCCAGATTTTTTGTGCTTTTCATCCAAACGTTGGGAAATTATTATCTGTATAATGCTTAATGCTGAAGGTCAAAGAAACATTCAAAGGTACTCACTCCCCTTGTCGCGAGTCTGTGTGTAGTTTTTTCCCCCCCAAACTCTACCTTTTTGTGCTTTATGTGTGCTCATAGCTGTTGCCCTTTGACCTTTCCAGCTGATTGAAACAAAACACAGTCAGGTCTCCACTGAGAGATTGGTAAACAAACTTCCCCTTGTTCTTTGTTCATTAACCCCCGACCTTTGTTGTGGACTCTCTTCTTTTTCTTGTTATTATTATTATTTTTATTATTGCTGTTGTTATTGTTCTTTTTAATGACATATGTTTGTTGTTCTGTTATTTTGGGTGAGGGTTTTGTTCTTGCTAACGGTACTGACAGGTGGATTGTTTTAATTTGGAGAAAATATAATTTGATCGGTGGAAGATTTCTTTTCTCTTGTTCTATTGTTTAAAGTGTCTGAAGACTAAAGTGAGTGTAATTATGATTTCTTACTAACATTCATCCATATTAATGGTGTGGAAAAACAGACATAAATTTACAGAATGAATAACTTATGTTGAAGAAGTCAGTTAGTCGTTGGTTGGTGAAGGGTTTCTCTGTTTTTTTACATTGAAGAGTTACTCTATGTGGATTCATTTTCTTTCTATGGAGAGTTTGTTCGAGGTACTACTATACCAGGTGGAGCAAAGTTTCCACACATTTAGAGACAAGGTAGTTTTTTTTTTCTCTGTTTTTTTATCATTGTTTGCTGATTCCAACATGTGCTCATGTGAGTTCAAGTTCAAGATAAACAAATAAGTCTCATTTAGTTTTCGTAAATGTGAGGCAGCGTGGTGAAGTCAGGCGCTCTTCAAAATATTGAAATTGAAGAAATTGGCTTCTTCCCGCCAGTCAGGCAATTTTTATCAAATTTTAACATTTTGATTCTGCACCTTTTATGTCCATTTGAGAACACATTTAATTTTATGTGTGGATTTTGCTGAAAAAAAAGTTGATTAAAGGTACCAAAAATTTTAATTTTCAGTTGCCACGGACTCTCGGGTAATGGAAATAACCAAACTTTGGCAGCCATTTTGTCGCTAATTTTACCTCTGAAATCCGGCTATCCCTACCTCCTCCAATCGCAAAGATTTCGACTTGTATTTAGGATAAATGGGTAATTTTTTTCATGGAAAGCGAGACAAATGAACAAGTTTTAGGATGATACCAATCACTCCACGTACCAAAAAATTTGACGAGCGCCTGATTCCACTACGTCGTGACTTAAATGATTACAACCTGGATGGACGTACAGACTGCTTAGTGTAAGACTGCGCCACACACCATTATGAAAAGTGACATATGATGGATTCTTGTCGATATATGTGAAGCGTGCTGACAAAATAAGTTACTTCTCGGATTTATCCTTATGGAAATAGATACATCACACTTATAGGTGAAGTTTTTTTCAATTTATAAGTATGAAATAATGAAAGGCATTTTATACTTTATGCATGCGCCATCAATAGAAAATCGACAAATTTCACCCTAGGATTGATTTTTTGCCAATATCTCCTTTGTGGATTGCGAGAAGTAACTCATTTTGTCAGCTCTCCTCACATATAGTGAAGTCCACTTAAACGGAAATCTGGGGGAAGCGCCAAATTTTTTTGGTTTAACCAGGTTTTCTGTGTAGAAAAGTTGCTCAAATAGAAGAAAAACAATGGGGGATTTCATTTTCTTTCGAGAAATCCGCTGTTTTTGGATAAACTGTGGTCCGTTTGAGTGGACACCACTGTATTGTAGATTAGAACCAGTTTACTCTGAGTTTACGGCGGTTTTTCTCTCAAGGATTTTATTGGTCCCATCTGTGTGTCAACTTTTGGCTCTGTTTCTGTGTGTGTAGTCAATGGTGATGTGTCGTGTCAACTTTTGGCTCCGTTTCTGTGTGTGTAGCCAGTGGTGATGTGTTGTGTCAACTTTTGGCTCTGTTTCTGTGTGTGTAGCCAGAGATGCCGTGCTGTGGCCAGTAGAAAGTGTAACCAATGCTGTGTTTCCCACCCTTGTTTGTTTGTGCGGTATTGTGTAATCATATATATATAACATAATATTTCATACATGTTATATATATATATATAAAATTTGTCGGCCAGCTTTTTAGATGTACTCAGCCCAAAATTCTGAATATAAAAAATAGTCTCTTAGTCAATGGTATTAAGGTACTACTGTTTAAAAAATGAAAGTTTTTCTTTCTCCCATAGATTTTTGCTTTCAGAGCTTACAACAGTTTCACAGCTTGCTAACAATTTTATATATATAAGATAATATAATGTGCCCATCATTTCTTGAATCGGAATAGGTATAGGAAGTTTCCTACCAAAGTTTACCCAGAAACAAATTGTATGATTGGCATCTGCTTACTACTCATGCTTGGCTAGGGTTGTTCTAATGTACTGATTGACTCCTCTAGACACACTTCTACATTTCCTCATTCTTTTCATTTCTATTGGTTCTGGTTTGGGCCTTTTGGAACTGTTTAATTTTGTCCCTAGGTTTAGCGTTTGGAACGAGATCAATGCAAAAGTACATCCCATGCATTACGCCCCCATCGCACACCCCTCCCCATTTTCCACCTCTTTTTCACTTTACCTATCTTTATGTATTGATTAATTTTTAACCTTAAGCTTTCTTATTTGTGAGTGAGTGGGTGGTTGGCAGGTGCTCTGATGTGATTTGCTTCTTCTTTCCTATCAAACATCTATCGTCCTTATCTGTCCTCTTTTTTGTGTTTGTTACTCTCTTGTAACACCTCTAATCTTCAGCACTTATATGACCTTATTGAGTTGCAAGTGTTGTAAAACTTACTAAAACTAAAAACTAACTTTACATATCTTTATGTTTTGATGAGTTTATGAACCTTATGCTTTCTTATTTGTGAGTGAGATGTGATTACGCATTAGTAGCTGCAGTTCATCTGTGAGGAGTGGTTGTATGCGTTTTTTCCATTTTGTCTGTTTTTACTTTGTCCTGTCAGCAATCTCCTTTTGGACTGAGTGGATGGTAAGCTGTTTGAGAAATAACCAAAATGAAAGCTCACCCGTCACTCAGGATGTAGTTCACACATAGGGTCTCACAGCTCTACAGTCACTACAGATCCTTGCCCTCTTGTCACTCAAGCAGTCTTCACACAGAGGCTTGTATTGTAAAATATCCTAGACAGTGCACTCACTGGTGTCTGTGGTGTAGCGGTTAGGCACTTCACTGTCGCATGCAGTAGCCCTGAGTTTGATTCACGATTGGGGAATTTTTTTTATCGAGTTACTCGGTCTTTCTGTTGGAATGTTGTATCCCTTGGAGCCCGGGTTGGATGACGGACAGGGTCAGAAGCCTGCCTCCTGAATTATTTAAATTGTATTGATGTGGGTGTTAAAAACACCTACCTTCTGAACAGTGCTTTTTGATGTATATGTCTAGTTCACTATGGAGCACACCATGTGATTCAATTTGGGCCAAATGAAGGGCAAAAGTGAAGGGGGAAAAGAGGTGCTGGGCATACCTGACAATAGTGAGACTGGTATTTTTTGCCCTCTGTTCGGGCACAAGTCACCCATAGTGTGCATGCTTCCCAACAAAGCATTTAAAGAGGGTGAATGAAGAGCAGCAGCTATGCTATTTTTCAGTAAAGGTGAACAAGTCTATGTCTGTGCATGAGCTTTTGGTCACTTTTTATCACTTTATCATTAAGTCCTGATGACTTTGGCTCTTTCCTGTTGCAGGCAGGGGACATGTTTTTGTCTCCCAGTTATTTCCCAGGTCTCCTCTATGATAAGTTGCTGTCTTAGACAATTTTGACCTTTTATAATGATGTCGCGGAGCGCGTGAAACGTTTCGAAGAACTCAACTATCTGCCTTTGACCACAGTTGAGGAGTCCACATGAAAAACGTGCATAGTCACAAACTGGAAATTGTGAGGAAGGCAATTTTAGAAGCTTGTGGACTCAAAACTTCATAATATTTGTTTGACTGGTGGTTTATTGTTGTTTGTTGAATGAGAAATCTGACAACAATAATCAACCAACAGTTTAACAAAATACAGTTATGAGTCAACAAGCGTTCAAAATTGATACCCTCACGATTTTCAGTTTTCTGGAGATTCCTGTTTTTCCCGTGGACTACCCAGTTGTATTAGGGTATGTGTCATGATGCAGTGAAATCACGTACTCGTCAATTTTTAGGCATATGGAGTTATTGATATCACCTTAAAGATTGTTCATTTGCCTTGCTTTCGATGAAGAAACTATCCACCTATCTTGAACTGAAGTCAAGATATTTACGATTGAAGGAGGTGGGGTCGCCTGGTTTCAGAAGTAAAATTAGTGAGAAAATGGCTTCCAAAGTTTGGGGACTTCCATAGCTTAAGCATCCTTGGAAACTGCAAATTTACATTTTTGGTGCCTTTAATCAACGTTTTTCCGTAAAATCCACACTTAAAAGTGTTTTTGAATGGACATATAAGGGGTTGAGCCAAAAGACAAAAATTCGAAAAAATTTCCAAACTGGACGAAAAATGCTGATTTCTTGGATTTCATATTTTTGACGAGCGCCTGATTTCACCACGGTGCCTCTCGTATCACTCTGTGTTGCTTCTTTATCTTTGTCAAAACGAGGATATGGAGAGGGAAGATAGGAATTATCCTTATGAAATAACAAGAAATGATTGTGGAGTTTTAAGAGCGAAAGCAGGCCTTTGGTACTTCAATTCTTATTTACTTCATCATGTTATTATTTCCATCCGAACTTTTAAGGTAGTTACTTGAGAAGTCAAAAACGATTTCATTTTCTGAGCAATAATGGATCCTTTTTATGAATAAATGAAAACTTTGCTGCTGCTCTATTCATGCCTCATAGGTCTGGGAAAACTAGCTTTTCTATTGAATAGATTGAACAGTATTCAGTAGACCTTTTAGCCTGTATTTTCCGTCTCCTTCACTTTGTGTCACCGGTTATCCATTTGTCATTTGTCCGTCTGACAGCAAGAAAGAAATCAGTTGGCATTCCATAATGTGTCTATATCTATATCACAAACTGCCATTTCAATTACCTCCCCAGTCCCTTAAGGTCCCCCCCCCCCCCCCCAGAAATTTATGTACATATTTTTTGGGTGAATGTTCTCTTGCACATTTGTCACCTCCACTAAGGCTCCAGCACTGATGTAAGCTGACAAAACACTTTTTTTTTTTCTCAGCAGTTTCGAGAAAAAGGGGATTTTTTGTTTTGCATAACCATTCGGAATAGTGTTCTTCCGGAATTTCAATTTGAATTTACTCAAAAAGTAGTCACTGTTTCACTTTGATTTTTTCATACAAGTAGGGTAACTGATGAAACTTTCGATTTAAGAAAATAAAAAATTTTGGTGCCAAAAAGAAAAAAAGGCTTTTTGTCAGGTTATATCAGAGCAGAACCTCTCTCTCTCTCCTGACAGAACCAGTTTTTGTTATTCAAGAACACCTATATTTTACTATCTTAACATATTTATAGTACTTTTTTAATGCAGGTGTTTTGTATGCTGGCATCGATACAGTTTAGATCATTTATGATTCGGGCTTCCATCCTTGTCTGTCAGGGCCAACCTTGGCCAAGAGGGATACAACATCCCAGCAGAAAGACTGAGATACCTTTACTTGATAAAATTTTTCTCCCCACTCTTGAATCAAGCTCGGATCTCCTATGTTCATCAGTGAAGCACCTATCCGCTACACCAGGGATGCCAGTTTTCATGATCTTACCCAGAATCTTGTTGATCCAACCACTTGACCACAGCTGTTCTTTCCTTTCCCCCCACCCCAACAACCACCACCACCACCACCAACAGCGACAGGCACTAGAGTCCTCCCTGGATGAGGTACAGAAAGAGCTGATAGAAACGCGTGCTGAGAAAAACGAACTGGTGAGACAGGTGGCTGTGTTGGAATCTAGGACGGAAGACTTGCAGGTGAGTTGTGTTGGAGAGAGAGAGGGATAGAGAGAGAGAGAGAGGGAGAGAGAGAGAGAGAGAGAGAGAGAGACAGAGAGAGAGAGAGAGAGAGAGAGAGAGAGAGGGAGGGAGGGAGAGACAGAGAGGAGGGGGAGAGAGAGAGGGGAGAGAGAGAGAGAGGGGAGAGAGAGAGAGGGGAGAGAGAGAGAGAGAGAGGGGGGGGGCAAGGGAGTTGGGCATTTACTTGTTTGGTGAATACAAGTAATTTTGTTGATGATTTCCCTTTATAAAATCCTTCTCTCTTCATTGAGTGATGTTTATCTGTTTGCTGTAGGCTGGTAATGTTTTAGCTGTTTTGTGTAGGCTAGTGATGTTTTAGCCATTTGCTGTAAGCTGGCTGGTGATGTCTTAGCTGTTTTCTGAAGACTGTTTACTGTGTGGTGTTGGCTGTTTGCACTGTTTTCTGAAGGCTGTGTGCTGGAAGCTGGTGATGTTTTAGCTGTTTTCCGAAGGCTGTGTGCTTTGTGTGTTTCCCCAGTCACTGACGGACAGACAAGGACAGGATCTGGAAACAGAACGGGAACGTGTTCGCAGTCAGCGAGAGAGGGAGGAGGAGCTCAGGGCTAAGGTCATGAACCTGGAACTGCAGGTGAAATATAACAAAACCTGGCAATAAATATCACACAATAATAATGATAATAATATGTTGCACTCATATAGCTCTTTCCCATACTAGTATAAGCTCTGAGTGCTTTTCGTCATTGACTTGATGACTGAGAGTAAAACCTCGCACACACACACACACACACACAATAAATGATTTCATATACACAAGAAGACAAGCTCAACCACATTAAGAAGAACTTTCTCAGCCATACATCACTAACTATTTTGTGTTTCTTTCTTTTTCAATTGATATAAAAACGTAGAAAGGCACAAAAAGTGCAAGTTTGCGGTATTCAAGGACTCTCCTCAGCCTTTGGAAGTCACCAAACTTTGGCGCCCATTTTCTCGCTAATTCTCTTCTCTGACACAAGGTGACCCCCACCTCCTTCAATTGCAAACATCTGAACTTCTATTCAAGATAGATGGGTATTTTTTTTCATCTAAAGTAAGATAAATGAACCAGCTTTAAGGCGATATCAATAATCCATGTGCCCAGAAATTGACGAGTGCCTGATTTCACTGCGTCAAGACACATATGTGTACTGTCCGGGAACACACTTTGTTTGCCTGACTTATCATCTCTTCTAATGTGTTAGTATTCTACTGGTATTGTGAAACAAATGTATTAGTATTCTGTTTGTAATGTGAAGCAAATGTGTTCAATTTTTCCGCCAGGCAACGCACAAACAAGGTGAGATGGAGAGACTTGAACGAATGTTGGAGGCTGTCAAACAGGAGTGTAGCGTGCAAGTCCTGGATAAGGTCAGTGCTAGGGTGGGGAAAAATACCCTTAATTGAAGATATTTTACACCTGCTTTTGTATTAATGTTATTATTGATTAATTATCAGCATATAGCACACTGACCCCTGCTCAGGATTTGAGTACTGGGGTATCATTCGAGCATTTCATAATTACTCGGACTCTGTCTTAAGTCCAAAATACTGGGCTCACACATGCCTATCAGGGGCACAAGGAAAGATTTCAGACAAGTAAAGTGGGGCCCGGCTGTAACAGAACTGCCAGGACCAATGCAATACCCTGTTATAGCTGAATCCTGTTATTGATGGGGATTGAGTTTACCTACACTGTAACTTATGATTAATGAATAGGTTTGTTTTTATTACATAAGATTACGTGTATGCGTGTAATGTGCGCGTGAGTGTGTGTGTGTGTGTGTGTGTGTGTGTGTGTGTGCTTGTGTGAATATTGTTCATACATGCATTAATGAAAGCGCCTAGAGCTGTGTTCACATGGGAGTGGGCACTATAAAAATGATATACATTATTATTATTATTATTATTATTACTTGCTACTGATTTGATTTTTCTGCGATCCTTTGTTCCTCTGGCAGGTGGCCAATGTAGAGAAGCTCGAGCGAGATCGCTATGTGGACCAGATCCAATCTCTGTCAGCCCAACTGGCAACTGTGACGGAGAAGTGCCATCGGGCCAATGTGGACCACCAGATGTCTTGCCAGGAGATGGACACTCTGAGGTCGCAGGTCATGGACTTGACCGAAAAGTTGGAGAAAGCCAGGTGAGGGAAAGAATAGTGTGTGATGGCTGTGTCTCACGGGGATGGGGAGGGGGTGGTGGTGTTACAATGGCTTTTTTCTGAAGATTTTCAAGACTTTGAATATCTTGGATTGACTCATGTCCTATCCAGAGATGGACGTTAAATTTGGAGGTGTCCCCTCTTTAATAACCTATTTGTGTTGATAGGGGCGTTAAATCCATACACTTTTTGGGATGTTCCCATCTTTTTGTTTCTTGTGCAGCTGTTACTGTTTTTCTTTGTGGATCTCTTATCAGTTGTACTTTCAAACACAAAAGCCAGACCGCAAAAATACTGTGAAAACCAATGTAAATCAGCTTTGAAAGACATCTACATTTGACTTGATAGAACTTACTTACTTACTTACTTGGTTGGAGAATAGGCACCATCGCAGGTGGCACAATGCCATAGCTACTCCTCCCTCCTCTCCAGGATCCATGAAAGGGTCTGCCTGCTGATCGTGCCAATTAACAGCTGGTTGGATATTCTTCTGGCTTTTCCATGTAGGTTGCTGTCTCTCCCCGACCCTATAGAGACACCAGCTTCCCTTAGTCTATCCGACTTGATAGCATCAAGCCACTAGTGTCTGTGATGTAGCAGTTAAGAGTTTCACTGCTGCGTGCAGGAGACCTGAGTGTGATTGCAGAGTTGGGAGAATTTTTATCTTTCTGCTGAGATGTTGTATCTCTCTCAGGCTGGAAGCCCACCTCCTAAATGATGTGAATGGTGCAGATGTGGGCATAAAAAAAACATCTGCTTGTGACAGCAAAGCGCCTAACTTCTGCACCTCATGTGCTGATACCCAAAGTGTGTCCATAGATCTTACTTGCTTTTTTCCTATTTTTTTGCTAGAATATGAAGTGATGTGCAGAGTTGGTGAAATGTAAGAGGCGATTTATAGAATCAGTGAACTGTGAACTGCGATGTGGCAAGGGAATCCTGTATTTTTTGTTTTCCTGTCCTCAGATCACAGATGGAGGTGGCGCTGTCAGAGAAGAACGAGCTGATGGCCAAGATCGGTGATAACAGGGGCGACCTTGACCGGCTGGCCCGCGACAAGGAGAGTTATGTCCAGCAAGCGGAGCAGAAGTCTCTGGAGGTCACGGAGCTCCGCGTGACCTTGGACAGGTTGAGGTCGCAGCTGGAGGAGAAGGAGAAGACTCTGTCCACGTTCCGCCAACAGTCCAGCAGCATCACACAGCTCATGGAGGTTTGTTCCAAATTGTCCAAGACGGACACCTGTTGGTCTGGAGAAAAGTGGTTGTCTTAGACAGGTGGAAGTTTTACATGATCTCATTCTGATAGAAAAAATACTTGAGATGGCCACCCATTGTCAAGGAGAAAAGTGAATGTATTAGACAGGTGTATGTCTTACACAGTGTTATTATAATATAGAAAATACCGTCAAAATTGTGTAGGATGGCCACCCGTTGTCCTGGAGAAAAGTGGTTGTCTTAGACAGGTGGACGTCTTACATAGTGTCCTTATGATATGTGAAGCGGGCTGACAGAACGAGTTGCTTCTCGGATTTGAGCCCTTTGGAAACAGATACATCACGCTTATAGGTTAAGTTTTTACAATTTATAAGTATGAAATGTAAAAGGCATGATGATGATGTACTTAAAGAATATGGCATCTATGGAAAATCTAAAAATGTGACCCTAAATTTGATTTTTTGCCAATTTTTCCATTTCTGGATTGTGAGGAGTAACTCATTTTGTCAGCACACCTCATATATAGAAAATGCAGTTGAGATGGCCACCCATTGTCAAGGAGAAAAGTGGTTGTCTTAGACAGTTGTATGTTTTGCACAGTGTCATTATAATGTAGAAAATACCGTTGAAATTGTGTAGGATGGCCACCCATTGTCCTGGAGGAAAGTGGTTGTGTTAGACAGGTGGGATCGTACACAGTGTCATTATAAAAGAAAGAAAAAAATACAAGGGGGTAAGCGGGACTTGGCTGTTTGTACATGTGGTTGTCTTACATAGTGCCATTATAAAAGGAAGAAAAAAATGCAAGGGGGTAAGCAGGACATGGGTGTTTGTACAGGTGGTTGTCTTATACAGGTGGCTGTTGAGCAGGTTGGACTGTACGTAGCACTGGGTGGGCCAAAGTTTGGGTGGGTGGGAACATGTTTTTTGAGTGGGATATTTGCAACTTAATGAGGCGGTAATGGTTGATGTGAGGGGATCAAGGCTTGAGATGGGTACACAATTAGCTCTGTTGGCATGATTCTGAGAATGGAGCAGATGGCCATGGTTTGAATCTCCAATAGGGCCTTTTGAAATTGGCTTGCTTTGGGGAGTTTTTATTTCAAGGTTGTCCGTCCATTTGGTTCCGTCCTGTCAGAGGTGAATGTTAAGTTCAAAGAGGTCCACCCTCATAAATTACCGTACAGAGTTAAGATCTAAGGGTGCTGCCCTCCCCCCCACACACACCCCCCCAGTGCAGTAGCAGATTTTTAAAAGATTTTAGAAAACCCCCTCTGGAGGTGAAGAGTTAACTAGATCTTAACTAAAGGTGCTGTTCCTTTTGTTTGCCAGGTAAACACCAGAGCCAGTGACAACCTGCGGGAGGAGAGGGAGAAAATGTCGGGCGAACTGGCGGAGAGAACGGCGGCCATGGAGGAGCTGAAAGTGACGCAGGAGTCGCTGAGCAGGAAGGTCAAGGCCAAGGAGAGGCGTGTGAGGGAGCTGGAGGAGGAGACCCTGCACGTCACAGAGCAGCTGGCCACTAAGGTTGGAGGGCGGGAGGGAGGGGATGGGAGGAGTGGGGTGGGTGGCTGTTGTTGTGTGTTGGTATCTGTCTGTCACTGTGTCTTCGTTTGTTTGTCTGCGTCTTTGTTGTTCGATTTCTGTCATTGTTTGTTTGATTGTATGTGTTTGTTTCTAGATTTGTGTCACTATTTGTTTGTTTGTTTCTTTGTCTGTTTGTGTTTTTGTTTGTTTTGTTGTCTTTGTTTCTAGATTTGTGTCCTTGTTTGTTTGTCTGTGTTTCTATAGTTGTTTCTTTGTTTTGTGTGTGTATTTGTGTCTGTATCTCTTTGTTTGTGTCATTGTTTGTGTCTCAGTTCATTTCTCTGTTTGTGTTTTGTTTGTTTGGGAGGTTTTTGGTTTGTGTTTTTGTTTGGTTATTTGTGTGTTTCTAGATTTGTGTAATTGTTTGTGTCTGTATTTGTTTTTTAGTGTTTATGTGTGTGTCTTTGTTTATCTTATTATAACTGTAATAATAACAGTAATTAATATAATAATATTGATAAAAATAATGGTTTGTCCATCAATGTCTGATGATGACCAATGCATCTCCAGAGGAGAATATTTCTTAGGTGAAATAGACGAAGTAAAGATTGAAATGACTTGTGGCTTCTGCTATAGTTGACGAGACCAATTCTGGTAGAGAAGAGTTTGTCACATTTTCAGCATTTAAAATCTTGATTTTCCACTTGTGGATGTGTGCAGCTTGCAGGCTTCTCTTTATTGCTTTAGCATTTCTAATTCATGAAGTCTCATAACTGCAGGCTTGCCAACTGTCCTGAATTTCCCATAACTGTCCCAGATTCAGGAATTTGAGGAGACATAAAACCAGTCCCACCTGATATAATTTTGTGCGTTGGTACTTAATCTTATGTTTATAAAAAGGGATAGTCCTGACTGGGGTTGGAAAAAGTTGGCATGCCTCTAACTTTGCTACTGTGGGTGGTTGGCAGGTGTTCTGGTGTGGTTTGCTCATTCTTTCCTATCAAACATCTATCGTCCTTATCTCTCCTTCGTCTATTTTGCGTTTGTAACACCTCTAATCTTTGGCTCTTATATGACCTTATTGTGTTGCGAGTGCCGTAAAACTCTTTCTAAAACTAAAACTAAGCATGTTACTGGGCATACATTACGTCTAAATCCCTTTTTTTTGTTGCCCCCCCTCTCAGAGCCAGGAGCTAGAGCTGATGCAGCAAGAACGCGACAGCGCCATGTCGGAGCTGAGGGACTGTCGCAAGGAGGTGGCCAACACAGTTGCCAGTAAGGACGCCTTGAAGAAGGAACTCGCCAGGGTTAAGACGCTAAGGACGAAGGAAGTTTGTAAACTACAGACCAAACTCAAAGGTAGGGGCAAAGAAAGTTTGTAAAGTATTTCAAGAGAGAAGTGACATAACTACTGTAACATTCCTGTTAGTATAAAATACAACCCGCTCAGTATTTGGAATAAATGAAATATTGGTGCATGAGCAACAGGTTTTGAGTCAGTCGTGTCAATTTTTATTCCAAATCTTTTAATTGTGTCAATTTGTACTCTCTCACTTTTTCTAGTGTCAGTTTTTAATCTTAACTTTTTCTTTTGTTTGTTTGTACTCTTACTCTTTTTCTTGTGTCAGTTTTTAATCTAACTTTGTCCTGTGTCAGTTTTTGTTTCAGTTATTTTTCCTGTTCTACTTTTCATTCCAACTTTTATGTTAACTCTAAAAGCTATTACTTTTGTTTAAATCACCAGAGTCAGAGCAAGAGTTCCGCCTGTCACAGAAAGCTTTACGTAGCAAAGATATGGTGGACCATAAAGGTGAGATCCCTGGGACTTCAGTTTGGTGGTGTATTACGTTATTCCACTAGGGATCTATTCTGGTACACGCCCTGATTCCCTAGAACAAGAGAATTAATCCTCTAAAAATATTATACATTTGTTTTATAAAAAAATAATTTAAAAAAAATATATTTACAAAATGATCTGGAGAATAAGCATTTGTATTGCGTAAAGAATACTGCTTCCAACGAGCCAGTTTCCACTGCGGTACAGTACAGGCAAGCTATTTATTTCTCCCATTATAGTTGGGACTATTGGGTTTTCATTCTGTACCCATCTATTTCGCCAAATTGAAAAAAGACATCAACTCCTCCAGTCACTTGAAAATAAGATATTACTGCACATCATTTTATGAACATAAGAGCAAGGACTTTGTATCCATCATATGATTGAGAGAGAGATTTCCCTTATAGATGGAACAAGAAGGTAATAAGAAAAATGATTTTTTTTTCTCACCCCACCCACCGGCAGCTGTGAGGTTTGCGGACAAGATTCAGAAAGAGATGACGGTGAAGAGAGGGGAGATGGACCAGCTGCTGTCGCGGATTCATCGACTGGAGGAAAAGCTGGAGGCTGTCAACAAGGTAAGCTCTGCACTGTGGGTTGTTGTTGTTGTTATGTTGTTGTTATCGATCCAGCAACACCTGGACTCTTGCCCTTTTGTCCAATGCCATGTAGTGATAAGTACAGATTTGCTGCAGTTGCCGTAATGTTCCATAGAGTGTGTTATCAAGCTTTATGGGTAACTTAAGGCTCAATCCGAGTGGATCCGAGAGTTTTTCGTCCGAGGAACTACATTTTATCGGGAGAATTTATTCACTATGAAAAGAACTTGAGTGCACGGAGTGCGTACGATTTGTTTCCACAATTTTCCAATGTGTTGTCCGTTCACGGGAACAACTAAGTGCGGCGCTTAGATTTGATCCGTGATTGGACAAAACCTCCACTCAGGAGGGGTTTTAGAGACCCATTTTTTTTCCTCAAATCTCAATTTTAACTACAGATTTGAAATCAGCGTTTAAAAATGACACTAGTTTAATACCAAACACACATATATAACATTATCTACGTCGATAGATATTATGTACCCAGTAATGCCTGCAATTCTGCCTTCTTCTTCTCATCCAATATTAGAGCATCAAAGCTATTGCGTCCATAACAAAAGAAGTTAGACTCTCAGACGCTGTTCTAATCATCTAGATCTACATCTAGGCTAGCCTGGCATGCAAGCATGCTCCAACCCTGACCTACTAGTTACTGTCAACTAGATGACGTAAGCTTAAAATATCACTCCAAAATTCCTACCGGGAAAAAAAACGGGAGAAATCGAAGCCACTCCGCATGTGGTCTCGTCTGACTTGGAACCATTCTCGGAGGGGAAATCTCATCTGAGAAACACTCGGATCCACTCGGATTGAGCTTTTACACTTATTCACCCTCTTTCTTTTTTCATACACAAGGCACAGAGCAGCTGACGCCATGCTTGCTTTTGCCTGTGGGTAACACAGTGAGAATAAAGTTCACTCAAACGGCCACCCATTGCTGAGGAGAAAAGTGATTGTCTTAGACAGGTGGCTGAATGATAGTGTCATAACAATGGAATAGATTGCAATGGAGGAAAAGGGAAGTGGCTGTTTGAACAGGTGATTGTCGTATACAGGTGGCACTTAGAGGAGGTTTGACTTTACTTGTCTTGAGAACTCACTTGATACACTGGTGAATGGAATTTCTGGTCTTACATTGTAAGTCGATGCCTTCGGCTTTAAGTGTTTGGGTTGTTGTAATTTAGCTATTTTATGCCTTTATCAACTCAGTTTAGTCTCTATTTTTTCAATGCTTTATCTGATGTGATTTCCCTGATTGGGTTTTGAAAAAGTTGGTAAGCCTGAAATGAAATTGTGTCAATGTGGGTGTAGTTTTATGTCATAATTTTTCTTTCACTAGGAGAAAGCTATGGTGGAGAAGGACAAGGACAGCCTGAATAGTGTCAATGTCGGTGTAAAACCTCAACGACATCATGTTCTTTCACCAGGAGAAGGCGATGGTGGAGAAAGACAAAGACAGCCTGAACAGTGTTGATTTGAGTGTAAAATTTCCAACAATAACATCATCATAATTTTTCTTTCATCAGGAGAAGGCAATGGTGGAGAAGGACAAGGACAGCCTGAAGAAGTCTCTGGCCAAGTCGTTGCTGCACACACAGGGCCTGACGGAGGAGCTGCAGACCACACAGGCTCAGAACATGGAGCTGGTCAAACGACTAGCCGCGCTGGAGGATGAGATGGACAAGGTCAGTGGCTGGGAGGGAGGGGGTAGAGGAGAAGGGGAGGAGGGAGAGGGAGCGGAGGAGGGGGAGAGAGGGAGAGGGGTGTCAAATCCTGTGTGGCTTCGATCAGTAGTCGAGTGGTTGGTTAGGCTGTTGGGTTCACAACTGAAAGATCGTGGGTTTGAACCCTGTTGTGTTCTCTGGAAAAGCTCCTAAAACGAATTTTCTTAACTTCACCTTGTTGGGAATGGGTACCCGGCTATAGACAGTGAAAGATCTTGTCAGTTTGTTAGTGTTTGAGTGCCTTATTGGCCGCTTGCACTGTATGCCTCCCGGGAAGCTGAGGATGTTTCTGAGTGTTGATGGGTTTACTGGTGTAGTAATATAGTTTGTAAATGTGTAAAGAGCTTGCTTTGGAGTGGGGATATGTGCTATAAAAATGCTATTTATTATTATTTATTATCATTTTTATGGTTGCTTACTTTCTAGATATCAAAGTAGCCTTCAAAAGGAAGTTCTTCATATCGCAAAGCGATAGATTGTTCTGTTCCTTAACTGCTACATCTCACTATGTGAGAGGTTGGCATGTGCTCTTGTGTGGTTTGCTCTATCTTTATTATCAAACATCTGTTGTCCTTATTCCTTCTCCTTTTCTTTGTTTGTTACTCTAAACTCTGGCACTTATATGACCTTATTAGGTTGCAAGTGCCATAAGACTCTTGCTAAAAAAAAACCCAAAGTTCTCCTATTTCATTACTGATGAAGAATGGATATATCGCTATGATGAACTTGAATTTTCAAATAAGTCTATACGTTTTAAGATGTACTTTTGCACATTTCTATTATGTACCTATTCCTTGGAGGTTTTAATAACAGTGAACTCTATACGTTGAACATACAGCGGCTATACTTAAACATTTTTGTGCAACTGTATAAATCATTACATCCAAAGCTTTAATGTCTTCTGTGCACCTAAAAGCAATGGCAAAGCTAATTTGTATTTGATCTGGAGTCTGGTTTCCTGTACCTTAAGTATTTTTTCCTTCCAATGCTCGCTGTGTTCTTTGCTATGTACTTCATCTCATTCATTTCTCCACCTCATTTTCATTTCATTTCATTTAAGAAACCGAAAAAGGTATTTCTGAATTTTTTAATGGAAACCTCAACCGTAGTTTGTGTGAGTCAGTCAGTTCTTTTAATCAGCAACCCTCGTTGTTTTCACATGTTAATGGGGACAACAGTCATGTAATCAGATTCTGTGGCAGAAGAAATGTTGGAATTATCAGCGCTGACTGACTACATGTTGTTGTGTTGTGTGGGGTGACGTCATTGTGTGCTGTGATCACCTAGATGCACTTATGTAGCTATGCCATAGAATTATAGTTGCCTAGACCATGCACTGTGACGTACCTCTGGTTCACTCTGGAGCACACCTTTTGATTCAATTTGAGTTCAATGAAGGGCAAGGGGTTAAGTTGAAGCATTGCATGTGACTATATCAAGATTTGTGTTTTAGCCGTCATAAATAAGGTGTAATGCTGTGACCCATGATGGTATGCATATTTTGCTGCAAAGTTTTTTAATTAAGAGCAAAGAACGTTGGCCATGACAGTGCATGGTCTAAGGTTACTAGTCTATGGTGTAGCTACACTCTGTAGTGTTAACCAGTGGAATATTTTGTCATGACACACTCGGCCATTTTGCCTCACACTTTTCGTTTTTTTCACTCTTGAGAAAAACAGGCTAGATATGGGTGAGCTCTATGAATTGTTGAAGACTCTTTCTCTCTCTCCACTCTCTCTCCCCCCTTCCCTCTCTCTCTCTCTCTCTCTCTCCCTCTCCGCCTTCTCTCTTTCTCTCTCCTTCTTCCACAGTGTCTCCCCCCTTATTGCTGCCCACATCTATTGAGAGCATGAACCATCCAACACATTTGTTAACCATTCTTTAGTAGACCTTATCATTGAGCCAGTACAGATGAGGACAACTTTTACGTCATGCTTTCGTAAGACCAGTGTGAATTTTAGATAGGCATGCTTTCATTAGACCAGTGTGAATTTCAAATGAATGGTATAACGCATCTCTGTTTTGCAAAAAAGTGGTACAAAGTTCCCCTAGCTATGTAAAAGAATGAAAGTTAGATCAGACAACCCCTCAAAGGACCTCAACGTTTTAACAGGTCATTGATGTCCTGTCTTGTTGTGTGTAGGCCTATGCCTGAGTGCACCTAACCTTTGTAACGTCCACCGCCATTGTAAATGAGCAAGACAAATTTTTCCCTCATCATCTTTGTTATTGTCATTATTATGGTTTTGTTACACATTGCCCTATTTTCTCCACATAATATAATTTTGGAGATTAATTGTAACACTGCAATGGTTTTCTTTGAACACCAAAACAGAGTCTATATATAACAGTAAAAATGTTCTTGTCTCTTGTCTGCATTCTTCATGAAAAATGACTTGACGGACGTTAAACTAGGAGGTCCCGCCCCTTAAATAACCTAATAGTGTTGATAGGGGCGTTAAACCTATACCATTTCACCATTTTAAAAAAAAATGTTAAGATTAAAGCGACTACCTGCACTAAAGAGTTTATTCATGTTCATACAATTGTCAAATAGGTTTGTGGTAGGGCTTATTTTGTTGTCAACTGCTGTATTATTTATGCCTGTATTCATGTGCATTAATATAGCATGTCAATAGTGTCTATTGCAATTGGAAAACCGGTAATTAAGTTTTGCTGGACAGAGAAGAAAGTTGTTGTTCTGTGGTTTGTGAGAGATTTCCTTTCACAGTGGCTCATTCCTTTTGCTTCTAGGATAAAACTGCATCTGAACGCAATGTTTCTTGACTGATATTGGAGGGGAAAAGACTTTAAATGATGTCACACTTGTCCAGTTTTCAAGGAACTGCTTCACTGTGAAGTGTTTTAGTCTCCTTGGCTGAGGAAATGAGTGCAGGGTAGTTAACGTCTGACATTGATTATGGATGTTAACACCTGACGTTGATTATAATTAACACCTGATTTTGATTATGGTACTTTACACATGACTTATTCTGGTAGGTAACACTTGAATTATTCTGTTGATCAAACCTGACTATTATGATAGTGAACATCTGACATTTACTATATAATGCTAGTGAACACCTGACATTGTTTATGGTAGTGAACACCTGACATTGTTTATGGTAGTGAACACCTGACTTTGTTTATGGTAGTCAACACCTGACATTGTTTATGGTAGTGAACACCTGACATTGTTTATGGTAGAGAACACCTGACATTGTTTATGGTAGTGAACACCTGACATTGTTTATGGTAGTGAACACCTGACATTGTTTATGGTAGTGAACACCTTACATTGTTTATGGTAATGAACACCTGACTCATTCTGTTAGTGAACACCTGACATTTTTCATGGTAGTAAACACCTGACATTGTTTATGGTAGTAAACACCTAACTATTGTGGCTGTTAACACTTGAGGTACTATCAAAGATTCTCTGCCACCATAGAGTAGTTGAGAATCTTTGGTACTATGGTAGTGAACACGTGACATTTGGGAATGAACACTTGACTTAATGTGGTCGTAAAAACATGACATATTAGGGTAGTGAACACCTGACATTGTTTGTGGTAATGAACACCTGACATTGTTTATGGTAGTGAACACCTGACATTGTTTATGGTAGTTTATGGTAGTGAACACCTGACATTGTTTATGGTAGTGAACACCTGACTTTGTTTATGGTAGTGAACACCTGACATTGTTTATGGTAGTGAACACCTGACATTGTTTATGGTAGTGAACACCTGACATTGTTTATGATAGTGAACACCTGACATTGTTTATGGTAGTGAACACCTTACATTGTTTATGGTAGTGAACACCTGACTCATTCTGTTAGTGAACACCTGACATTTTTCATGGTAGTGAACACCTGACATTGTTTATGGTAGTAAACACCTAACTATTGTGGCTGTTAACACCTGAGGTACTATCAAAGATTCTCTGCCACCATAGAGTAGTTGAGAATCTTTGGTACTATGGTAGTGAACACGTGACATATGGGAATGAACACTTGACTTAATATGGTCGTAAAAACATGACATATTAGGGTAGTGAACACCTGACATTGTTTGTGGTAGTGAACACCTGACATTGTTTATGGTAGTGAACACCTGACATTGTTTATGGTAGTGAACACCTGACATTGTTTATGGTAGTGAACACCTTACATTGTTTATGGTAGTGAACACCTTACATTGTTTATGGTAGTGAACACCTAACTATTGTGGCTGTTAACACCTGAGATACTATCAAAGATTCTCTGCCACCATAGAGTAGTTGAGAATCTTTGGTACTATGGTAGTGAACACGTGACATATGGGAATGAACACTTGACTTAATATGGTCATAAAAACATGACATATTAGGGTAGTGAACACCTGACATTGTTTGTGGTAGTGAACACCTGACATTGTTTATGGTAATTAAGACCTGACATTGTTTATGGTAGTGAACACCTGAATATTGTAGCAGTTAACGCCTGACATTGTTTATGGTAATTTAGACCTGACATTGTTTATGGTAATTAAGACCTGACATTGTTTATGGTAATTAAGACCTGACATTGTTTATGGTAGTGAACACCTGACATTGTTTATGGTAGTGAACACCTGACATTGTTTATGGTAGTGAACACCTTACATTGTTTATGGTAGTGAACGCCTGACATTGTTTATGGTAGTGAACACCTGACATTGTTTATGGTAGTGAACACCTGACATTGTTTATGGTAGTGAACACCTGACATTGTTTATGGTAGTGAACACCTGACCTAACTATTGTGGCTGTTAACACCTGAGGTACTATCAAAGATTCTCTTCCACCATAGAGTAGTTGAGAATCTTTGGTACTATGGTAGTGAACACATGATGTATTATTGTAGTGAACACCTGACTTATTATGGTAGTGAACACCTGACATTGTTTATAATGGTAGTTAAGTCCTGACTCATTCTGGTAGTTAACATGTGGCTTTGATACAGGTAGTTAGCGCATTACTTTGACTATGGCAAATATCTCCTCTTCTTAACTCCGTATCCCTTTTGAGTGAGGTTGTTTTTTTTCCCTACCAGTTTTTTCATGTAAATATCTCAATGATATGGTCTCTGCTAGTTCTTTTTCCTTATGCGTTCTCAGGTTATAGAGTCTTTTAAAGCCGTCTACCTCCTGTAGTGGTTATCTCCTTTTTGTTGGAGCTTTTGGTTTTATACCCATGTTTTTGTAATCCAATGTGGGCAAACAAAGTTGTAAGAGTGAATGTTGAATTTTTATCGACCAGTCTTGGAAATATTCGGATAAACAAGTTGTAGGTTAGATAGGCATGCGAATTATACAGAGAGAAAAAATTCCTTTCATGGTAAAAGGAGGGTCTTAAGCATACTGGGTTCTTGTGCTGAGTTTTCTTAGGCAGAGAGCACTGATTTATCATAACACTTTGTTTTTAACTGTAATTTCCCAGGCTATATTGTCCTTGGGTTTAGCTATCATCAAATTATTTTCTTTTATCTTGTCTTTTCCGTCATTCTTTTCTTCTGAGATTGTGAGTGTGTGTGTATGTGTGTGTGTGTGTGTGTGTGTGTGTGTGTGTGTGTGTGTGTGTGTGTGTGCGCACTCATGTTTGCTTATTTACATCCAGGTTTTAGTTTCTTTCCTCTCTTTTTACCAACCTTTTGTTCCGATGTGTCTTGTAATGTACCAAATATAATATAATATACACATGTAATTATATATATATATATATATATATATATATATATATATATATAGTCTAACCTGCTCTAACAACCATCTGTCCAAAACAATCACCTGTATAAATGACCACTTCCCCTGTCGTGGTTTTTCTACATAATATATTATACTGACTCTGTATAAGACGTGAACCTGTCTAGGAAAAATGCTTTTCCTCCTCGACAATGGGTGGCCATCTTGGACAATTTAGACTGTATCGTCACCTCCGAACTATTTTGTCTACAATGCCTCTTTACTTAAGTGCCCTTTGGAAAAAATAGCTCAGAGGCGAAAATGTATATTCACTCAGATGTTATGTAATTGTTAAGTTTATTTTTGTTAAAGTAAGTTTATGTTCCCAATGATTTGTCATCTCCGTTGTTGTAGTATAAGGTCCAACTGGCACTATCAACCACCTGTATAAGACAATTACATGCACAAATGGACATTTCCAATCCCCCCCCCCCCCCAACCTTTTTGAATTTTCTTTTACATTATATTGACTTCATAAAAGACAGACACTTTACTTTTCTCCTTAACAGAGGGTGGCTGTCTGAGGCATATTTGACTGTAATTGTATTTATATCCTCTTTTCACTTTGTATCTTCTCCCTGTGACCTTCACCTCTATATCACATATCGACCTTCACCTCTATATCACATACCAACCTTCACCTCTACATCACATATCGATTTTCACCTCTATATCACATGACCTTCACCTCAATATCACACACCGACCTTCACCTGTATACCACACATCCAGGCTAACCAGAAGACGTCAGCTGCTAACGCACAGTTGGAGAAATATGAGCAGGAAATGGCCACACAGAAACTGAGACATCAGCTGGACCTTAAGGTATGAGAAATTGTTACTTTTACAGTCTGTGGTGGAAGAGAACATTGTTACTCTTACTGTCTATGAGAGATAGAGAACATTGGTGGTAGAGAACATTGTTACTCTGACAGTCTATGGTGGTAGAGAACATTGTTACTGTGACAGTCTATGGTGGTAGAGAACATTGTTACTGTGACAGTCTATAGTGGTAGAAAAAATTGTTACTGTTACAGTGTATGGTAGTGGATCATATTGTTACTGTTATAGTCTATGGTGGTAGAGAACATTGTTACTGTGACAGTCTATGGTGGTAGAGAACATTGTTACTGTGACAGTCTATAGTGGTAGAAAAAATTGTTACTGTTACAGTGTATGGTAGTGGATCATATTGTTACTGTTATAGTCTATGGTGGTAGAGAACATTGTTACTGTGACAGTCTATGGTGGTAGAGAACATTGTTACTGTGAAAGTCTATGGTGGTAGAAAAAATTGTTACTGTTACAGTGTATGGTAGTGGATCATATTGTTACTGTTACAGTCTATGGTGGTAGAGAACATCGTTACTGTAACAGTCTATAGTGGTAGAGAACATTGTTACTATAACAGTCTATAGTGGAAGAGAACATTGTTACTGTAGCAGTCTATGGTAGTGGATAATATTGTTACTGTAACAGTCTATAGTGGTAGAGAACATTGCTATTGGTACAGTCTATCGTAGTGGAGAAGATTGTTACTGTTACATAGCTGCCAACCAGTATGTAAAAAATATATTTTATATGTTTTTGAAGGTCTGGGTACAGAAGTTTGGTTTCGTGTAGGGAAATATGTAATCTCTGTTTCCTAGCATTGCTCCTAACAGACTCTCTGATGCTGAAGAAAAATTGTGATTTTTCAAGACCAGATTCGCGAATAATAATGAAAACGAAGCCAATCAGTCAATTGGGGAGACCATTTGCAGAGCTCGTCTGCTTTGAATTACTTGAATTTATTGAATGGAGAAAAGTATGTCTGAACTGGGAAGAATTTGGTGTTTGTTTGGTTTTGACAAGTTGGCAGCTGTGCTGGTTCAGTTTCTAAAGAAAGAGAGCATTGTAACTATACTTTCACTTATATTTATATATATATATTTATATGCACACATACATGTATACATGCATTCAAATATTAAAATGCACCTCCTGTTATCAGAATTTACCAGCAGATTACTACTATAGGCCTACATTTGATTTTCATAAATATCTTAACAGAATATCTTCAGGAATTGTGGTATGAATTTGTCAATATCACACTACTGCTGAAACTGGCTACTGCCTTAGATGATTACTTTCTATTTACAACCTGTATTTATACCACACCAGTAGTTCTGCCTTTATAGCCACTTGACACAACAACAGATTCAAATGTGGGTGGTTGACGGGTGCTCTGGTGTGGTTTGCACTTTTTTTCCCTATCAAACGTCTATCACCTGTATCTCCCCTCCTTTTTTTTTGTGTTTGTTACTCCCTTGTAACACCTCTAATCTTCGGCACTTATATGACGTACCTTATTGTGTTGCAAGTGCCATGAAACTCTTACGAAAACCCCCCCCCCAAAAAACAGATTCTAATAGTAGCAATTCTCGCTGCCACAGTGTTGGACAAATTAATAATTTCATCACGATGCCTCACATCCTCCCCCCCCCCCCCCCCCCCAAATTTTTTTTTTTTAAATTATCATTTTTTTTAATGTTTTTTTTTGGGTCCAGGAGGCAGAGAGACACGGTGGCCTAGTTCCGGGAGTGACCGCTGTGTCGGCCATGACAGGTTCGGGTTCGTCCCTCCCGTCCAGCGCCTCTGTGTGTGCCCGGGCGGAGCGGGCGGAGAGGGCGGAGCGGGCGGAGCGGGTGGAGCGGGCCGGCTTTGTGGGCAAGTCAGACAGTGTCAGTGTCAGGTCGTCAGCTCCGGTCAGCGTCAGTGGCGACAGTGACGTCATGAAGAACAGCCTGGAGATCAGAGATGTGGGTCGCCTGACGTCACTTGTTTGTTCTGGTTGTTGTTGTTGTTGTTGTTCTCCTCTTTTTTCTTCTTCTTCTTCTTCTTCTTCTTCTTTTTCTTTTTTCCTCCTCCTCCTCCTTCTTTTTCTTCTCCTCTACCTCCTCCTCCTCCTCCTCCTGCTGCTGTTTACTGCCCCTGTTAAAAGCAATCCTCTCCACCCCCAGCCACCTGTGCCCCCAGACATATGCCTGAGGTCAGCCTCAAGATCTCGCTCCCAGGCCCACCTGCTAAATGATCTAAATTGTGTGAATGGGGGAGTAAAAACTCCTACATTTACAATTTTTTGCATTGTGTCTCTTATCATGCGTCTGTTTCAGGGCGGTTACCTTGTGTCTTGTCTTATGTGTCTTGTTTCAGGGTCGCCACCGTGACTACTCGGAGGTGGGGAGAGAACTCAAGTCGCTGCTCGGGGAGATGAGGAGTCTTATCTCGGGCCACAAGGAGGACAGACTCAGCGTCCACAACCTCTCGCCCCGTGATGGACAGAAGGACGTACTCGGAGAGAAGATAGACAGGGACAAGAACAGAAAGAAATGGACTTCTTCTTCTCCACTTGGGATACAAGACTTAGGGTCAGTGGATGGTTGGGTGGTTGGAGGGTGCTCTGGTGTGGTTTGCTCCTTCTTTCCTTTAAAACGTCTATGATCCGTATCTCCCTTCCTTTTCTTTGTGTGTTACTCTCTAGTAATTACGTATAAACTTTAGTGCCTTTATGATATATGACCTATTTGTGTTGAAAGTGCCGTAAAGCACTTACTTTGGTTGTTTTGTGCCTTGATTTTCTTGTGATTGTCCCGGATTTGGCTGTCAGGAACTTGAGAACCTTATCACCAACACTTCACCAAAGCCAGCCCCACATGATGTAATGGTTGTTATATTGCTACCTTGGGAAAACAAAATTCTATCCACATTTTTGGCCATTTTAAATTACTAAGACCATGAGGTCAGAAACTGAATGTTCTATCTGATTGATTAAAATCGTAAGATTATTTGGAGGCGTTATGAAGATATGCAAAGAGTTACATTCGGAAAAGCTATACATGTAATGAAACTCTAAATTTTTTACGGCAATTTTCTCAAAACTAGGTTCTGAGCAGATAGGACTTTGTAACTCTAGGGTAGCGATATGTGAGGCATCGTGGTGAAATCATGCGCTCGTCAAAATAATAAAAACGAAGAAACAGGCATTTTTCCTCCAGATTTGCAATTTTTAAAGAATTTTGGTGTTTTGGCCCAACACTTATGTTCATATAATAACAAATTTCCATGTGTAATTGACTGAAAAAAGAAATGATTAAAGGCGCAGAATATATAATTTTTCAGTTTTCAAGGACTCTCAAGCTATTGAAGTTACTGTACTTTGGCGGCCATTTTTTCACTTATTTTACCACTGAAACCAGGCAACCCCACCCCCTTCAATCGCTAATATCTCAACCTTTATTCAAGATAGATGGGTATTCTTTTCATTGAAAATAAAGGCTAATGAATATGCTTTCAGATGATAGCAATAGCTCCACATGCCCAAAAATTGACGAGCGTCTTATTCCACCGCGTTGTGACACATATGGTAATCTGACATTCTAACTTTGTTGTCCATGACTGGGTTTTGTGAAAATTGGCAAGCCTGTTGGAGCTTTCAAGACTCTCAACCCATTTTACTTGATCATTTCTGAGAGTGCAGCTAAATTCGAGGGTCCCGTCTCTTATATAACTTAATGGTGTTGAAAGGGACATTGAACCTAAACCCATATACGTCCTTTTTTTTTTACAGGCCAGCAGGGAGAGTACAGCAGTACAGAGAGCCTCAGCCAGACACGGACGGGAACAAATCGTGGGCGTCCAAATCCTTGACCGACCTGGGAGACTTGTCTGACTTCTCTCTCTACAAAGGTTCTACTCTCGTTTTTTTGAGGAATTAGTGGGGTAGGGGGAGTGGAGTTGGGGGGAAGGAGGGGTTGGAGATGGGTGTATGAGCTTTGCCTCCAGTTTTATTTTCTTGTAGCAAACAGGGGAAAATAGTTCTTTACTATATTAGCACTGTTGCACAGCGTGTTGAAAAAATGACTGCCATTATATGTGAAGTTTACTGATTTGTTCTCAAGTCAGATTTACTGATTTATTGTAAAGTCCAATTCACTGATTTATTCTAATATCAGATTTACTGGTTTATTCTAAAATCAGTTTTACCGTTTCAGTAACACAGTTCTCTTTTCTAAGTCATTTATTTGTTTGTCACAATTTCTTATAAATAACAAAGCTGTTGTGATTTGTTTTGAAATTGGATTTTTTAAAATGAAACCGCAGAATGGCGACCTCGCTCCCGCTCGATGTCACGGCACCAGCATTCCTTGACGGGTGACCTTGACACTTCACACAACACCAGCGTCATGTCAAGGGGAGGTTACCAGGATGTGTCGAGGCTCAGCCAGTCCACGGGAAGTCACAGGAAACCCGCAAGTGGTAGGTGAAAAACGAAACCCACAAATGGTAGATGACAAATCCACAAGTGATTAATGAAAGTCCCACAAATGATTGGTGAAAAACTAAACCCACAAATGGTAGGTGACTAATCCGCAAATGGTTAATGAAAAGTACCACAAGTGGTAGGTAGGTGAAAAATCCACATGTGATAGACAGGTATTCTTTTAATCAAAAACAAGGCAAATGAACAGGCATTAATAGATCCATATGCCAAAAAATTGACAAGCACCTGATTCTAGCATTTTAAGACTTCTATATACTGTACGTGTGTCGTCTGCGTCTGTCTAAGTGTCTTTACATGTCTGCTTGTCTACATTTATCAGTATGTGTGTCTGTGTCTAAGTGTCTTTATTTATAAGTCTTTTTGTGTACACATCTATCTGTTCATGTCTGATTCTGTCTAGGTGTTTCTAATGTCTGTGTGTTTGCATCATTCTGTACATGTGTTTTGTGTCTCTTTATGTATGTATCTGTTGGGTGGTTGGAGGGTGTTCTAGTGTGATTTGCTCCTCCTTTCCTATCAAACATCTATCTTCCTTATCTCTCCTTCTTTTTTGTGTTTGTTACTCTTGTAACCCGTCTAATCTTCAGCACTTATTTGACCTAATTGTGTTGCAAGTGCCGTAAAACGCTGACTGAGACAAATGTCTGTACAAGTGTCACCATGTATCTTTGTGTGTGTACATGTATCTGTAGGTATGTTGTGTGTCTACACAAGTGTCTCCATCCATGTGTTAGTGTGTGTACCTCTATTTATATGGCTACTCTGTGTCTATGCAAGTGTCTTTATTTATCTGTCAGTGTGTGTACTTCTATCTGTATGTGTGTTGTTGTCTACACAAGTGTCAACATGTGTCTGTGTGTGCACATGTATCTGTATGTGTTGTGTGTCCACACATGTGTCCACACATGTGTCTTGTGTCAATGTGTACATGTATCTGTACGTGTGTTGTGTGTCTACACGTGTGTCTGTGTGTGTACATCTATCTGTGCGTGCGTTGTCTGTCTACACAGGTACCGGCCTGTATCTGTGTCTGTGTGTACATGTATCTGTATGTGTTGTGTGTCTACACCTGTGACTTGCTTGTGTCAGTGTGTTTATATGTATCTGTACGTGTGTTGTGCTTACACAGGTACCGGCGGCACCAGCCTCCTGACAGTCCCTGACACATCTGAGCTGTGTCGTAGACTGGAGGAGAAGATAGACAGCCTCACCCGCATGGGAGGGAACCTGCAGAAGGAGAACAGAGGTGAGGGGG